TAGCTAAAACCTGCATCATGCCACCTAATTTATTTCTTTTTTTTGTGTGGGAAGAACATTTAAGATCTACTCTTTTAGTGACTTTCAAGAACTTTTTATGCCTTTTAACTAATAAAATGTTGGTTCTACCAAGTGAATTAATTCTGGTCTCTGAGATGCAGATTTATTCCCCTAGAAGTCAAGATTGAACATTTATTTTTTATTTTTTTATTTTTTTAAACTACATTTTATTGATTTTTTTACAGAGAGGAAGGGAGACATCCATTGGTTGTCATCCATATGCTTCCCGACTGTGGATCGAACCTACCACCTGGGCATGTGCCCTGACCCGGAATGAACCCACGACCTTTGGGTGTACAGGACAACCCTCCAACCACCTGAGTCACACCAGCCAGGGTGGGGCAGTCAATTAGCATATTCAGTCCTTATTGGCTTTGGGCGCCACCATATTTGTGATGGCGTGAGGGTCAATTAGCATAATCCATCTTTATTAGATAGGATTTTATTGTTTTTTTACAGAGAGGAAGGGAGAGGGATAGAGAGTTAGAAACATCGATGAGATAGAAACATCGATCAGCTGCCTTCTGCATACCCCCTACCGGGGATGTGCCCGCAACCAAAGTACATGCCCTTGACCAGAATCGAACCTGGGACCCTTCAGTCCTCAGGCCGACACTGTATCCACTGAGCCAAACTGGTCAGGGCCCAAAGTTTTTGAAGTATCCCATTGACAGTACAGAGCTGTAGCAACCCAGTTTTATATCCAGGAATCATCAAAATACCACCCATTTTAAGAGATTATACTTTAGCCCGGCTGGCATGGCTCAGTGGTTGAGTGACCACCTATGAACCAGGAGGTCACGGTTCAATTCCCGGTCAGGGCACATGCCTGAGTTGTAGGCTTGATCTCCAGTGTGGGGTGTGAAGGGGGGGCAGCTGATCAATGATTCTCTCTCATCTCTCATCGTTGATGTTTCTGTCTCTCCCTCTCCCTTCCTCTCTGAAATAAAATACATACATATATATATATATATTTAAAAGATTATACCTTAGTTTCTATTTTGTTTTGGTTTTTCTTTTTTAGTAAATTAGCAAATACCAACTAAGCATTCCAATAAAATACTATTAGCTACAGAGAGGGCTTCCTGTAGGTGAGTTATGTACTTCTCACTGGGCAGTTGTTCTCCATCATGGCTGCCCATCAGGAGCATTCTAAGGATCTCTAGAAATCACCACTGTCCACGCTGTACCTCAGCTTAGGGAGAGCCAGAGGCCTGGGCTGGAGCTTAGGTACCAGTGGTGTTGAAAGATGCCCAGGTGATTGCAATATGCAGACCCAGCTAGATCCGCTCATCTTGGGTTCTTAGTTTGTTTGAAATATCACAATAATTTAGTTATTAGAGGACCATCCCCTCATGTTTGAATGCACTGGCTGAGTGTACTGGGCTTTTGGATAGCAACATGTGGTAGAGATGGCCTTGCAGGGTGAGTCAGGATCAAGTTGGAAGCCTGCCTCCATCAACACCACTCAAGTTAACTTGGACAGACATTTCACTCTGGTCTGAAATTTTATTCCAGCTTTAGTATTAATCTTCAACACTTAATTTATAGCAATTTTCCTGTATTTTCTATATCACATCAAGAAGTCGATAGATTCAAAATTTCTCTCTGGTAGTTTTGATTCAAGGGGCCATGTGACAGAGAGACCTTTAGTTTGATATTCAGCTAATGATCATGGTTGAGAAGGTTTAGATTTTAGGAATTTGAAATTCAATGTGTTGATGTTGATATTTCCATTGTTAAGGAATAAGAGCTTTCTGAGCAAATCAGTAGCATACGCCTTGTTAATGTGTCCTGACTAATAGCAAGCCTGCTTACAATAACTAACTCTTTTGAGAACTTCGTTACATTAATGGACATCCTCATTACAAATGAATCTTAGACATTTATGAAAGCAGGTTTGGACACTGAGATGCAACTATGGACAGAGTCTGAGAAAAGAGGCAGAGAATTTGGACACTCATCTGGATTTTGCCATTTATTAGCAGTTTAGTTATAGGTGGTTACTTAATCTCTGCATCTTTTTAAAAAATATATTTTTATTGATTTCAGAGAGGAAGGGAGAAGAAGATATAGAAACATCAATGATGAGAGAGAATCATTGATCGGCTGCCTCCTGCACCCACCCTACTGGAGATCGAGCCTGCAACCCAGGCATATGTCCTGACCGGGAATCGGACCCTGACCTCCTGGTTCATAGGTAGATGCTCAACCACTGAGCCACGCTGGCTGGCTTAATCTCTGCATTTTAAGGTTCTCATCTATAAAATGAGAATAAGAGTATCTACTCTAATTATTTCACAGGGTTCTTATGAGGCTTGGATTAGATAATTCATTTATTCAACAGATATGTGATTCACCATGTGTCTGTTACTTGCTGGGCAGCACTCTAGATGTGAAGGATATAAAGAAGGGAAATTAGTCCTTGGAAGGAGTTAGAAAATATATTAGTCACTGCTCACATTTTAAAAAAAATTCATATTGTAAGGCCTTTGAAGAGGACTTGTTCTTTCCTCTTTGTGTTTCCATGTCTTACTACCTGGCACATAACATAGAAGGGGCTAAAATACTGGTTATGTGAATTAATGAATCTCATAATTCATTTCCTTAAAAATATTTTGTGACTCTAGACTGGATCTCTCTTGAACAAGTTGAAATGAGTCAAGTGTGGAAATGTCATTACATTTCCCTGCTGGTTTAAAAAGTACCACGTGAACTTGAGTGTGGTAATCTAACCTGAGATCCTTTCAAACCACAGCAATGGTTAATTTTTCTAGTTGGATTTTGATTCAATTTAGGTTAATATGCCCTTTTTTTCAATCAACATTTTAGTTTCAGGAATACCTGTTTTTGGCTTGATGTCCTTTTAATATTTGGTGTTAATGGGAACTCCAACCTTTCTTTTAGAAAGGAAGATACATTCTTTTCTTGACATCCTTTTTTCCCATTAAGTTAAAAAAAAAGTCACTTCATAAATGTGATTTCAAACAGCTGGATTTTAATCTTTTCACTTTATGGGAAGAGAGAGTTTGGTTTCAGCAGTGCTCCTACCACATGTCCTGGACCACACTCAGCACATTGTACAGTGCAGCTAGCAATGAACTTGTGGCTGTGCATTTGGGCTGTGCTCACATGTTATTCTAAGCTAGGTCAGGGACTGTGGTTGGTGTCTTTTTCTATACTCTTTTAAGAGAATGTGAACAAATGGAGAATTATAATGTTTCATACTGGGTCACAGAAATAAATGCTTTTGAGGATTTAAGTTCTGTCTCTTTACAATAGGTTAAGGTAATTCTCTTTGCAGCCCTATGTATCCTTAGTATAGTTGGAGAAGGCCTTGGAGTGTTGATGCCCAGTCTTTTATTTTAATAACAGAATTTTAAAGTCAAAAGGACTTTTGGACTTGATCCAAGCCTGCCACCCACATTCTAGGACAGATAAAATCAAAGAGAAATTAAGAGGCTGTGATAGTCAACTTCAGGGGGTGGGAGGGTGGGATTGGAATACTTTTCCTGAGTTTTTTCCTACTGGCTGTCCACTGAGCTGGGACTATGCAAATCCTGCCAGCTTCTGTGGTGCTCCTAGGAAAAAGCTCACAGACATTCACTGTAAGATACACATAGACATTTTGTGCCCACATGTATGTAATTGTGTAATCTCCTTTATCCTTAATTGCTTAAGTTGATAGTGATGTGTAAGTTTACAAATTTACTTTAAAGTTTATAACGGTAAATTCCATTTTCAAATATTGATTTCTACAGAGTTCAGGGAGCCCATGTTCAATGTGGCCTGCAGGGATTTGGGTTGGTTTCCATTCTATAATTTGTCCCTTGGCATAGATGCTTCTCAGGAAGCAGAGAGCACATATTATTTCCTATGTTTTATACTATAAAACCTGGTATTAAACCTG